CCGGAGTGCTTCTTTTTACACTTTTCGCAACACTTGGCTTCACCTCCTCCTCCTTCTTCCGTCTTTGAGAATTTCCTTTCTTTGTCGGACTTTGAAGATCCTTCATGCTTCCTTTTCTCGCCAACTTCAGCTCTCTCCATACCCATTTCCCTAATTTGGGTTTCAACATTCCTGGCTGCCCAGATGGCTCCTTTCAAATTGGTTGCTTGCTTAACCATTGGTCCAAAGTCTGCTGGTAATCCATGGGCAAACTAGTTAACCTTGGAGAGCTTAGTTGGAACTAGGTAAGGAACAAGCTTCATTTTCTCTGTAAAACTTGCAGCATACTCGATGACACTCATCCTTCTCTTCTTTAGATTCTGGAACTCATTGTTGATCTCCAAAAGATCCTGCTTAGATCAGTACTGCCTCTTTAGCTGCACCAGAAAATCTTCCATGACATCTTGCTCGCTTTTCCTTTGGGCATCAAATCAGCTAGTAGCTTCCACCAGCTTAGTACTCCAGATTTCAATAGAGGAACCGCGAGAGCCGTCTTTTTCCTGTTGGTACAGTCGCAACTCCCAAACATCGACTCCATCTCGGAGATCTAGTTCCTGACTTCCACCAGTGTTGGGCTTCCAGATAGACTCGGAGGTTTGGACGCCATGAAATCCTTGTATTTGCATCCACGTCTGTCATTTCCTCCGTCGTGGTGGTTTTGCCTAACTATCGGTGGGTTGGCTTGACCAACGGTCCCACTGTAGTTTCCCTCCTCAATCTGCCCTTCGTTCAACTCAGGTTTTTCGATCTGTACAGTCGCTTCCTCTCGATTTTGCTAGAGAAAACGTCTGGTTTCCTCCATTTAACGATCCAACATCGCTTGGATCATCGCTTGCACTCCGGCCATTGTTATTGGCTCAGCAGTGGCTACCACAACTGGTATTTGCCCAAACACTGGGGGTTGGCTTCGGTTCCCATTTGCATTAACGTTTCCGCTACGAGTCCTTTCCATCTTGATCTATACACCGAATAATGTGAATCTAGATCTTTATTCAGGATTGACGTTTAAAACATCCTTATCACTCCAAAACGTTTATATGATAGTTCTAATATCGTAGTCGTACGTTTAGATTCCTAAACACATAAGGTTTCCAGATCCGGTCGGCAACAGACCATAGATCCGAATAAATAATAGCATGTTAGGCACAAAGCATTTATCACATAAAAGCATTTTAGGCACAGTTCCTAAAATAAGCTAGTGCTTGTGTCTATTCAGGTGTATTACCTAAATCTATTTAACACACTCCTCAAAATCATCACTTAGCATTCTAAGTTTAAGTCTAGAAATTTCCTACAAATTCCTAGTTCGCTTAAACTAATGCTCTGATACCAACTATGACATCCCCATTTTCATGGCCAGAAAAGACCGAATTTGTTTATGGTTTATAAAAATCAGAGTACCTCTTTTCATAAAAATGTTGCAAAATTTGTTCCCAGCAAAATACGATAAATACGTTATCAAAACATTTTCGAAGAAATGTATTTTATTCATTTTAAAATTTTTGGGATGTCATCGTCAATACAGGAACATAAGCATAAACGGACTTACATTTATTTACACTAGTGATCTACATCTCTTTAATCTCTCATTGTAATGTCACTTCATATCGACACATGTGATATAAATAAACTCAGTGGGTCAGGTTGCGAAACCTGGTGAGTACATAGGCTTTTCAACCCACAATAATACATTTACTATGTTTATGATTAAACAGTTAACCCAATTACCCATCCCCATTATCTTATTTATTCTTAAGGATCTACCCTAAGAATCAGCTATTCCTCGTTCATTCATTCCTAAGGATTATCCTAAGGAATCGGAAAGAAATCGATCGTTGCCACGGTTTACACAACGGGCACTAAGTCTGCATAGTCACCAGGGTGTAGGCATTAAGTCTGCATAATCACCAAGGTTTAGGCACCAATTCTGCATGGTCACCAACGTTTAAAGTACTCCGGGTGACCATGTGGTTCCTAACACCTACAGGTTGCAAGCCTACTAGTGTTCCACAGGACTGTCTAGAATAGTCTGTGGTTGTCATCCATACTCTGCTGAATGATGGGGCCATCATTTGGGAAAAAGGCTTCTCACATCGTCCACCTCTCACCCTTACCTCGTGGTCGATAACACCTCTCAACTCATCATTCAACTTATATTCAATCTATTATATCTACCCATGTTTACCCCAACATTATCGTAGATATAAAATACATATACATTTTAAATCATTGAAAACATGTATAAAACTGATCATTCAACATAGATAGCAAGTATTCAGATAATGTGCACACATAGCTCGTAATTTATATAAAATACTTCATATCTATGTGTAACCTGAAAGTAACTATGCACTCACCTGAAAAGTGGTGACTCAGCACTCGGACAACGCTTCGATACTCTCAAAACAATTTTCCTTCGATAAAACCTAGTATCAATACCACTAGGGTTTAGTCTAACGATAACCGCGAAAAATTAATAGTCTAGCTATTATTATTATTATTATTATTATTATATAAGTGTTATATAACACTCAATATAACTCATAATAATAGCCCAAACAATTATTTTAAGGACCTAATTACATAACAATAATTATTTGAAAGTTATATTAAGAATTGCGTAAGCGTAGCTCACTTACATTGGATTTTAGAGAAAACCGAGCTTTGCTCGGAGCAGCGTTTCGAAACCGAAAGACCCTTTTTCTCGGGACTCCGGGAGCCTCGGGGCTTCCTTCGGGAGCTAGGGGGTTTACCTAGGGTTTAGGAGGGTTAGAAACCCTAGAGAGAGAAAGAAATCTTGAGAGAGCAAGGAAATGGTGTGAAAAACTCGGAAATATTTGCATCTATTTATAGCCTCGGTTACACTGGGCATAGTTCCGAGGTATGCTGGGCGTAGTTTGCATTGGGCTACCAGATGGCTTCGTACGAGACACGCGTCGGACATCGGCTGGAGCTACGCGGCTGCTTGTCGACCGAGGGTGGCAGCTGTACGCGGCGCATACTGAGCTTCAGACACTGGGCGTAAGCGAAGGCAGCGTGTAGCATATCCGAAGCAAGGCTTGATCATCAAGCAACGGCTAGGATCCGGCCACATCACCAAATCTCGCAAGTTTTGCAACTTTCCTTCCCAACTTCTATAAATCATAAATTTCGCATACGAGCTTCGTTTTCAATGTTGTGTATATCCACATGTAAGCGGGAATATACTCTACAACTTTCGTTTAGACTCTGTTGGCTAATTTTGACTTTATTTTAAAAGTTATATTATTAACAGGCCGGAACAGGATTGGTCCATTAAATTCTCATAACTCCTTCATCCGACGTCTGTTTTCGCACATCTTTTTCTCGTTACGCTACTCTTAACGACATCGTCGATTCTCGTTTAGGTTGTGTCGGCTAAAAACCGCTCGGTCTATTACTCGAATTTCGGGTTGTACACTGCTAATCCGAAACTTCGAAAAATCATAACTTCCTCATACGAAGTCAGATTTAGCCGTTCTTTTTATCTATGCTCTTAGTTTAACATATTCTACGACTTTCGTTTACATTTCTAAGGCGAAATCTCCTCTATCGTAAATTCACTATTTACGCTTCCCAGTGTCGTGTCGGTTTCGTCGCGAAACTTTGACGGGTCATAACTTCTTCGTTATAACTCAGGTTTCGGCGTTCTTTATATATATGGAAACCTTGCGACATATACTACAACTTGGTTAAGATTATTTATTCTAAATAATATTTTGTCGAAAAGTCTTTTTCGACCCCTATTGTCTCTAAATTGACTAGCCCGGATCTATGGGCGTTACATACAGTATGTATCCTTGTGTATAGGATGTTGGTATGTGGTTGTGATTGGTTAAATTGGTAGAACTATTATGACTACCTGTATTGATGGTTAGTGTTTGTTTGTTTGTTTATGTCAACATATTTTAGTTGGGTTGAGGCGGTCCTACTTTGTCTTGTTAGACAAGATACCCTGGGGAGGTCTAAATGTATTGTAGACCTTGCCAGGCTGTCTAGTCAGACTTTAGGCCTAAGGGAGCGGTCCTGTTATATTGTAGGTGGTTGAAACAATAAACTTAAGATCGAAAGATTCTTTAATAGAAAAGTGTATCAAAATTGAAGAATAATTGATCAAAAAGGCGTTGAATGATTATACTATCAAAGCCTTATAAGAGTTATGTGTGAACTTCTTTGTAAAGGAAATGTAGGGCAATACAATTGATTAACCCTAAAAGCATTGCATACATGCCCTATTGCTAGTCTAACCCGAATATCATTAAATTTACAGGTGGACAAGCCCATCCCATTACATTATTGACTAATCTAGTGCAAAAAAGAATTACACAACACATTAAACACCCTAACAATCTCCCCTTCATATCAATAAGGGAGGAAGATTCTTCATTTTTGTTGACGCTTATAAGCTTTGAAAAGTTTTGGCATTAATCCAGGCATGGTGTTGCAAACTGAGAAATACCATTTAATAATATATGCAAAGCACTTCTTATCTACAACATCATTTGCCTTGCATTGTTCACTAATCCTCACAATGTAGTTCAGAAAATAAGTATAATAGAGATGCTTGTCGGGTAAGGAAAATAAGCACTTCTGAACATTCGTACCATATCTAGCACTTTATTGAAACACCACACTCCAATTATCCATTCGTATTCTTCCGATTTTCAACTTGGTGACATCATTCAACGCTTCTTCTATTTGCATGGTAGGTTTCTTTCTCAAAATAGCCGCTATCTCACATCCATTTTCTCGATTTCTTCTTTAGATAAAAGATGAAACAAAGAAATCCTATCGTAAGGATTAAGGCACGGAAAATCTACAAGAGTGAATTCAAAGATTGATTTGCTTGCCCCTCGTGATTCCTTGAATCGAGCATTAATAAAGCTTTTTGTTTCTACTAAACTAAAGACTTTCACATCAATAATCTTTTTTGAACTCCAAGTTTAGATTTGGGGCTTTCTATGCTTGAGATAAAAGGAGATAAGCATGAGATTGGGATCGTTATCTGAATCGGGAGCTTTCTCAACCTTATAAAAACATCGGAATAAAAAGGCCTTCAGAGTTAATGGAAAGTCGAGCTGAGACTCTGAAGTGTTTTCCAATTCAAACGAAGCAACTGCTTCCAACCAGTAAACATTCAAATTGTCAATAGCTTCGTTCAAAATATGCTCCATCGACCTATGAGGGAATAGGGCCTTCTAAGTTTTGAGTGTGAGTTGAGCATCACAAGTCTCCTTTTCTATAGCTTCAGCTTCTTTTTTAACCTGTAGATTCTCAACAAGCTCTTGCTCACATTTCTTTCTTTTAAGATGGGACCCTTTAGACAAATCTTCTTCTTCTTCTTCATCATCATCATCCAGTTTGCCTTTTCCTTTTGATCCTGAAGCTTCATTACCCTTTGTATCTTTTGATTTCGGATTTCGCTTCTGTTCATACTCACCACGCAGATTCATCAGTTGATTTCTTGGGTTCTTCATTAGATGGCTTCTTAACTTCTCCCCATTGTTTCGGAATGTTGCCAGCTTCTGAAACACCCTCGATACGATTTAGCATGGAGAATACTAGATTAATTTTGTCAGCGAGATGTTGGCTAATCGAAACTGTGAAAAACAAAATCACGAGTCTCTACCAGTTTTTGCAAGAAGAGGTTAACATCTGCAATATAGCTTTTGATAACATCATTTTTGGACTTTAAGGAATCAAGCTGCTGGTTGACATTTTAAAGATGGACTGAAAGTACTTTCACTTTTTCAGTTTTCATAGCTAGCTTATCCATTATTTTATCTTTGATTGCATGATCTTCCTCTAGCTTCTCAATTTTTGAAACAATGGAGGTACTGATCTCTGCATTATCAACTTTCAGGTCCGAACGGACTTTGGAGAGAGCCTCTTTTTCAGTGTGAATAGTGGAGCCAAGATTCTTTATCACCTTATTCACAGTTGCTGTATTCTTATCTGAGGAACTCCGAAAGTCCTCCATAAACTGAAATTCATCCAGATCATCACCAAAAATAGTGTCAGGATCATCAACCCTTAAAGGTGACATGAGAGAGAAATAGAAACCAATAGTAGCACCAAATGCACCAGCCCCCATATCATATATGTTGGTAGTTACCTGAGGTAAACTGGTTGTAATTGTTATGGTAGATTCAGTGTAGAGTGGAGTGGATTGGGGAATAGATATCTGCCTTTGCGAAATACCAACAGATATACTCGGACATGGAGCAATGGTGATGGGTGTAGAAATAGGTGTACAAGTAGTAGTAGGAGAAGTTGTAGGAGAACGAACATGAAAATTTTCAATTAGTGAAGGAACTAAAGTATGAATCGTAGACGATACCTTTGGAATGGAGTAAGTAGAAGAAGGTTATGAGGCCATTGGTTGTGAAGATGCAATAGTATCATTAGTTTCCTTCCGAACGTGTTCAGTTTCCCAAATCTCTGATATTGTGTGAGAGTATGAATCCTCTTATGCGACAGTAGACGGAGATCTAGGTTTGCAAGAAATCTTTTTCACCTTCTTCTTCAGAGTTTGAGCCGGCTCGGAAGGACTAGCTTTCGTGTTTCATTTTATGCCCTTTTTGGGTTTGTTTCCTTCTTCAAGAGCTCTTCATAAATCATCGAGTATAGGAAGAACACCAGAAGCAGGTTTCTTGCAGTATTCATTTACCATAACATTATCACCTGGAACATTTATGAGCATTGCTTCAGGAATCGAACCGACGAAGCTAAATTTAGTGGGGTTAGAGACAATAAAATTCGATGTACGGAGGATTGGAATAGATGCAATCACATAATTTTCATGATCTTGAAGCTGAAGATGTGTAATAGCACGTTTGACGATGACTGACCAGAACCGTGCACAAGATATCTCACAGTGCCTTCATGAAGAAAGGATGCTCTGAACCTGTTGTTCCTAATGAATAGAACCAACATCAAGGTAAATCCCCTTGTAAAGACCATAGATCAATGTGAAAAAGAGCTTGCTAGCAGTGTCTGACCCCGTGCCTCTTTCAGAGAAACTTCTGTAAAGTAGCGTGAAAAATCCATTCCAGATGGGTAGAAGATTTGGAAATAGAGCTTTTTTGAGAATTGACCTCAAAAATGATCATGGATTCACTCTATTTTGTAGTCTGCAGTAGAGAAAGCTTTCAACAAATGAATCAATGGTAAACTTTCAGCCATTGTTAGAGCTTGAGCAAGTAAAGAATATTGAAGGAATTCGATCATCGACTTTAGAGAATCGGTGTACTTGGAAGACTCAAGATCCAAAACAAGATTCTGATTTGGTTTGATGTTCAGCATAATCGTGGAAGCTGTTTGTTTAGCAACAGATGGAGTTTCAGAGGAAGCGACCATGGATGCAGTTGGAGAACAAGATGAATAGTGTAGAGAAAAAGATGTATTATCGATAGGGATTTTGAAAATGGTGAGAGAAAACAAAACGTCGATTTTCCTTAAATACGGTACTGTTTGAGAGAGAAAGACAGTTGTAGATGTTCTGTTTCCCTAAAAAACCGCCTGAAAAGGCATGACTAATAGGCGTGATGTTAGGCAGCGTAACTGACAAGCAATGATGTCAGGAATTTCAAAAAGAACATGCCCAAATTTTGAAGTCATATCCCTTTAAAACTGTCGTTTCAATTCTACACATTCGTAACCAAGCGTTAAACTCCTCAACCTGTTCAGAACAAGTAGCCATCTCCTGTTTTCGAATTGAAATTAACCATTCAGAATTGTGAGACCAAAGTTATGAAAAATCACAAGCATTTTTTTCAAGAGTGTGCCAAAGATAAAGAAATATAGCAAATTATATTTGGGAATCTGTGATGTCAATTATAGATCAACAAAAAAAACAGTTGGATCCCAGGCAACGATCTCTCCCTTCAATTGATCAAAAAGGTGTTGAATGATTATATTATAAAATCCTTAGAAGAGTTATCTATGAACTTCTCTATAAAGGCAATGTAGGACGATACAACTGAATAAGCCTAAAAGCCCTACACGCATGCACTATTAATATTCTGACCATAATATCATTAAATTCGGGTGGACAGGCCCAACTTGTTACTTTATGGACTATTCTAGTACAAAACAATATTGACACAACACATTAAACACCCTAACAATATCCCCCTTTGTTTCAATAAGGAAGGGCGATTCTTCATTGTTGTTGATGCTTATGAACATTGAAAAGTTTTGACATTAATCCAAGCAAGGTGTTGCGAACTAAGATATACCAGTTAATCATATCTGTGGAGCACTTCTTATCCGCAGTATCATTCGCCTTGCATTATTTAGTAATCCCCACAATGTAGGTAAGACAATAAGTAGAATAGAGATGCTTATCGGGTAAGGAAAATAAGGACTTATGAACATTCGTACCATCTCTAGCACTTTGTTGAAAGGCCACATTCCAATTATCCTTTTGGATTCTTCTGAGTTTTATCTTAGTAACATCATTCGAAGCTTCTTTTGGTTGCCAACTTATGAGTTTTCTGTCTAGAAATTGACATCCTCTAGTTATACTTATGATATCAAGATTGCATCCACCAAGATTAGCATCAGAGAACGGTTGAACAAAGAAACCTGAGTTTGAAGGGTACCCTATTCCGAGAGAAGTCGTTCTTTTTTGATATCGGAATATGTTATTTACTGCAGTTATGTGGGGTTCACGAGGATTTTCTTGTAACCAGCACAATAGAAAATAGAAAACACAATGTCCGGATGAATAGTAGTTAGATACATTAAGGAGCCTACCATTTATCGATAGAGAGTCATATCAGCTACGTTTATCCATGGAAGGTGTAAACTGCATTCCAAATGCCATTGGAACATTGACCTCTGAGTCTCCCACCATTCTGTATTTCGCAAGAAGAGACTTTGAGTAGGCCTCTTCATTTATGAATATTCCCTCTGAACTCTTTCTAATATTCAATCAAAGGAAAAAGTTAAGAGGACCCGTTACGCTCATTTCAAATTTAGTCTCCATTAATTTTCGAAATTCTTCTGTTAATCCAGGATTACTAGATCCGAAAATGATATCATCAACATAAATTTGAATGATCTAAAGGTGATCACCATCTTTCTAGCGAAAGAAGGTTGGGTAGATCGAGCCTTGTTTAAATTTGGATTGTTTTAAGAATCAAGTAAGAGTTTCATACCAAGAAAAAGGATCTTGTTTTAAGCCATACACGACCTTATCCAAAATATAGTAGTGATTCGTATACTTATCCTTTACAAAAGCTAGTGGCTACTCCACATAATCCGTCTCTTCTAATTCATCATTAAGAAACGCAAACTTCATGTCTTCCTCCTGGCAGTATCCTTTCACAACTAATCTCGCTTTGTTTCTGATTACGGTGCCTTCTTTACGAAGCTTATTATGAAACACCCATTTCAAACCTACAACAAATGCATCCATCAGAGTTGGAATTAGACTCCCAACTTTATTGTGCTCAAACTCATTGAGTTCTTCTTGCATTTCTTGCACCCAATCGGAGTGTTGAAGAGAAATTTTGGCTCCATTTTTGAAAATAATGCAATCTGATTCACTTTTTGTTGAGATCAAGTGAGAATACTGGAAGAAGATGAACCAATCACTTGCAATTTGGGATAATATCTAGTCCACTTTGACAAAGGATGGTAGTTTGGATAAAAGGATAGATCCAATTCAACATTTACATCTTCGAATTCTGACTGAGCATCTGAGTCATTATTTTCACCCTCATTCTCCACATGGAATGGTGCATGTGGCTCAAAATTTGGAATCAGCTTCTCCCCTTTGATTGGAGTGTCAAGATTGACTTCGGGGTTTTCATTCTTCCCCTGAATAGGTGAATCAGATGTTGAAGTTGAAGTAGAACTCTCCCCTTGAACAGGTGCATTTTTAGCTTGTGGCGAAGGTGGACTGTCGGAGGTGTTCGAAATTTGAGGTTATTCTTCAAGATCTTTAGCATCGTCATCAATGATCATCCTAATTTCATCTCCTTGTTATCTACTACTTTTGATTCTAAAGAAATCACCTTCTCTGGCTCAGCAAGCAGATTCATGAATTCCACGTAGAGATCAGAAAGAGGAATCGTCATCGAATTTGTCGTTGAAAAAATCTCCTTTGATTGACAGTCAAACTTCTGATACTTCTTCAGATAATTATCATAAAATGTGACATAATAGGTTTCTTCTATATTTTTTGACTTTTTGTTTAGAATCCTATATGCCTTCAAAGTAAGAGAGTACCCCAAAAAGATCCCTTCGCCTGCTTTCACATCGAACTTGGTCCGCTGCTCTTTAGAATTGAAGATGAAGCACCTGGAACCAAAGACATGAAATAAATTAACATTAGGTTTTCGTTTATTTATAATCTCATATTGAGTGATTGAAAATCATTTATTGATGAGCTATCAATTCTAAGTGAAACAGGCAGTTCCGATAGCCTCAGCCTAGAAGTATGAGGACAGGTTCGCAAAAGACAACATGGTCCTCGCAGCTTCACACAAAGATGGGTTTTGTCATTTAATGACTCCGTTTTCCTGAGGAGTGTAAGGATCAGAAAACTTATGAGCAACCCCTTTTTCAGTAAGGATTTCTTCAACCACTTGGTTTTTGAATTCAAAACCATTATCACTGCGAATGTTCCAAACCATCTTTTGCAATTAAAGCTTGATCTGCTTGATAAAGTCCTTGAGCTTGGTGGTTGCTTCTGATTTCTGTTTAAGAAAATATACCTAGGTAAATTAGGAAAAGTCATCAACAATAACTAGAATGTATAAGTTACCACCAATACTCTTGATGGCGGAAGGACCACAAAGATCTATATGTAACAGTTCAAGTGGCTCAATCACTTTGGTGTTGATGATAGACAAATGACTCTTCCAACTTTGCTTTCCCAAGTTCGAGTTTGTTGATGTCCTTGAAGTTGACATGCAGGAACCTTCGGTGTGATAACCAACTATCATCCGAAGATGCTTTCGTAAGAAAGCATATAGAAGGAATTCCTATGATCGGCTTTATATCCAATGAAACATCTCTCTCTTTCTGTTGGATTTTAGAAGTACTGCCATCATTTTCGTTTCTATAATTTTAGATCCCTCATCATCGAGTGATACTTTTATCCCTCTACCTACAATGAATTGAGAAACACTTATCAGGTAATGTTGTAGGCCTTACACATATGCTACCTTGTGAATGGAGAATTCGCCATTTGTGATCATGCTATATCCTTTGATTTCTCTCGTGGCATTATTTCGATACTTCACTTTGCCTCTGTCCTTCAGTGATCGAAATTCCCTTAGCTCTTCTCTCATTCCAGTCATGTGATGCGAAAAGCCACTATCAATGTACCATTCGGAGTCGTACTGTTCGTCACGAATCACCTACAAAATTCAGAGAGATTTAGGAACCCAAAGTTATTTAGGTCCATGTGAGGTTTTCTTAGGAACAAGAAATGTTATAGATTCGTCAACCAAATATGATATCTTTATCAAATTTGAATTCTCGCATTTCATTAATGTAAACACAATTATCCTTTCATCATTGGGATATCTTTTAAAAGGAATTTTGTTTGTTTAAATGCTATTTGTTGCTTGGCAGACTTTTTCACAATCTTCTTTTCCTACTTTTTCAAGTGTGTTTTGGAATTCCTTAAGGAAGGTTCCAGTTCCGAAACAAGTTTCACCTTGCCCTTAACATCTGTGTGGAGAGTTTTGAACTTTTAATTTTAGGAGAAAAAAATTATGCTTTTTCAACTGATTTTGAACCTGAGGTTTTGAAAAAGTTGTTGTTTTCGCAACAGGTTTTATAACTTAAGGTTTCGCAACTAGAGGTTTTGGAAAAAACTTTTGCTTTGAATTCTGAATTGGAGAAGATTTCACATTTTGAATAAGAGATCTAACTGAATTAACAGTATTATGATTGGAATTATGATTTTTCCAGAACTGTTTTCTTTCTTTTAGATTTTTCTGATATCTAGCATTTAGTTGTCTTTCCTTGGCAATATGTTCTTCAACTGACTTATGAACTTTGGCGCTAGGCTTCAGTTTCCTATCACATAAGTCAGTCTATTCGGAAGATGCTTCACAAGGGAGATCTTTAGTTCCACTCGGAATAGTTATATTATTATTACAAGGATTGTCACTATTCAAAGTTTCTATGACATATCTCCCCCTTTGATTTTCCAAGAGGTAATTTTGGAAAGACCATTGGTTTCATCAGAGTTATCAATCGGTCCTGACCAAAAGTATTCATCGCAACCATCTGCATTATCGTCATCTACCAGGGACGTTAGTTCAGAAATCTGATTTTTGTCCAGTCCGGTTTTTTATAAAGACAGTAGTGTTTGCTTTTAAAAAATCTGAACC